ATACTATCCTTAAGCTACAATGATTTGTCAACTGCGCTCAAGCAGTGTTTTCTCTACTTTGGTATTTTTCCAGAAGATCGAGTGGTCGAGGCTGATAACATAATACGGCTGTGGATGGCGGAGGGTTTTATACCCAGAGGAGAAGAAAGAATGGAGGATGTCGCTGAAGGCTTCTTGAATGAACTGATAAGACGAAGCTTGGTTCAAGTGGATTCTACATTTTGGGAAAGAGTTACTGAATGTAGGGTTCATGATTTACTCCGTGATCTTGCGATACAAAAGGCATTGGAGGTAAACTTCTTTGACATTTATGATCCAAGCAACCACTCCATATCCTCTTTATGTATCAGACATGTGATTCATAGTCAAGGAGAAAGGTACCTCTCACTTGATCTTTCTAACTTAAAGTTGAGGTCAACTATGTTCTTCGATCGAGATTTCCGTAAGACGAGTCTTATAAACTTCAGGAGTGTGTTCCAACATCTATATGTGTTGTACTTGGATATGCATGTTGGGAATGTGTCTCTAGTACCTGATGCCATTGGAAGTTTGTACCACCTCAAGTTCTTAAGCTTGAGAGGTATCCATGATGTTCCCTCTTCCATTGGCAACTTCAAGAATCTAGAGACACTTGTTGTCAATGAGGGGGCATACTCTTGCAAACTACCCCGCGAGACAGCTGACCTGATAAATCTAAGACATTTAGTTGCTCAGTATACAAAACCTCTGGTACATATAAGCAAACTCACTAGTCTTCAAGTTCTTAAAGGCATCTGTTGTGATCAGTGGAAAGATGTTGACCCTGTTGATTTAGTCAATCTTCGAGAATTAATCATGGATGATATTAACAAATCTTACTCCCTAAACAACATTAGCAGCTTGAAAAACCTTAGCACTCTCAGATTACGGTGTTATGTTAATGAATCATTCCCATCCCTTGAATTTGTTAATTGTTGTGAAAAGCTCCAGAAATTGTTGTTACTAGGGAGAATAGAGAAACTGCCTAATCTGTTTTCAAATTCCATCACAATGATGGTTCTGAGGGACTCAAGACTGACAGAAGATCCGATGCCTATTTTGGGAATGTTGCCAAACCTAAGGAATCTCGATTTGGTTAGTGCTTATGTAGGAAAAGAAATAATGTGCAGTGATAACAGCTTCAGTCAACTAGATTTCCTTATTCTTTATGATTTTGAGAAGCTAGAAAGATGGGATTTAGGCACAAGTGCCATGCCTCTGATTAAAGGTCTTGGTATCTATGAATGTCCAAATTTAAAGGAGATTCCTGAGAGAATGAAGCATATATGTTGTCTTCATAATCGTAGAGGTATTGATGGGGGCATTTCTGCCAAGCACATTGGTTATTAATTTCAGGGCTGTCAATGAGAGTGGTTTTAGTGTTTCATTTCTTATTATTGTTTTAAGCTTTTTGAGCGAGTGTAATTGGTTTGAACATAAATTGTTTTTGCCAAAAATGATTTTGTGATGGTACTCTCTCTTGTCCACAATTTAGCATTTTTTTTGTTCCTCTTTTATAGGGAAAATGGTCAAAAATACTCTTAAACTATGTGAAAGGAACAAAAATGTCCTCCGTTTATAGTTTGGTTTAAAAATGTCATTACTGTCAATACCTTGGTTCAAAAATGCCCATGCAGTCAATACTTTGGTTCAGAAATGCCCCTATAGTTACAAAATGCCCTTTTTCGAATAATTTTTTTTTCTTTTTAAATGTATCGTCTTCCTAATTAAAATATTATTAAAGAACACTATTCTTGTTGTCTTTCTTCTAAAAATCACTTTAACAAATAAAAATGTAGGAAATATTTTGTTTTCTTCTTAATCTCATTTTATCAATTAAAATAGAATACCGTCATGTACCCTTTCGACAGATAATATATGTCATATACATAAGATCATAGTATATCCATCATTAATTTATATTTATATAACGATAAAAAAATAATGATGATAAAATAAGAAATATTTTCATTTTTTATTTTTTTCTGAATTGAAGTAAGATAAACATTTGCTAATTTTTTTTAAAAAAATTATTAGAAAAAGAATGTGTTAAAAAGAAATTAATATTATATTTATTTGGAAAATGAGCATTTTTGACCCATTAAATAACAATATGGGCATTTTTGGACCAAAGTACTGACAATAATGGTATTTTTGGATCAAACTATAAACGGAGGGTACTTTTGTTCTTTTCGCATAATTTAAGGGCATTTTTGAACCAAAGTAATGATGGTAAGGACATTTTTGAGCCAAACTATGAATGCAAGACATTTTTGTTCCTTTCACTTAGTTTAAGAGAATTTTTTACCCTTTTCCCTCTTTTATATAAACTAGTCTCGGGGACGTGCGTTGCACGTGTGTCCCATACTAAATTGTGTGGAGTCGTTATAATGATATATATATACTTGAACATGTATGTTACCCATGTATCTCATGCTTAATTAGTACAAGAACTTTGAAAATATTATAGTGTGTGATAAGTTGCACAAACATTGAAGAGAAATATACAAGCTCAAACCAATAACTTCAATTATGCAATTCCTATAATATATCAGTATTTAATATAAAAGTTTCTTTTGTTTAATATGTCATAACTCATAGTTGAAGAAGAATTATATGTAGTGAAGCCCATATTTAAAGGAGATTCCAGAGAGAATGAAAAACGTGGAGCTGTTGAAGAGGAATTATAAAAAGTGGTGAAGTTTTTCAAGCATATATATATATATATATATATATCATGTCTTCATAATCGTAGAGGTATTGATTTCTGCCAAGCACTTGAAGACATTGGTTATTAATTTCAGGGCTGTCAATGAGAGTGGTTTTAGACTTTTAGTGTTTCATTTGTTATTGTTTTAAGCTTTTTGAGTGAGTGTAATTGGTTTGAACATAATTGTTTTAATTAATTGGTCTACTGTATGTTCTTTTGCTTATCCATATTTAAGACGATGCTTTATATGTTAAAATGAAATTAAAAATAGTATATGGTACTCTCTCTTGTCCACAATTTAGCATTTTTTTGTTCCTCTTTTATAGTGAAAATGGTCAAAAATACCCTTAAATTATGTTAAAGGAATAAAAATGTCATCTGTTTATAGTTTGACTTAAAAATGTCATTACTGTCAATACTTTGGTTCAAAAATGCCCTTGCAGTCAATACTTTGGTCCAGAAATGCCCCTATAGTTACAAAATGTCTTTTTTCGAATAATTTTTTTTTCGTGTTAAACACATCGTCTTCCTAATTAAAATATTATTAAAGAATACTATTCTTGTTTTCTTTCTTCTAAAAATCACTTTAACAAATAAAAATGTAGAAAATATTTTGTTTTCTTCTTAGTCTCATTCTTTACTAAATTAAAACTTTTTAGTAAATAATTATAATTTAAAAAACATAGGACAAGTGTTTTTAAATGATTAATATAGATTGTCATAGAGTTACATGCATTTTGAGATCAAAATGACCAGATATTATTGAAACATTTCAAAATACATTCAAAGTTTAAATATGGGAAGAAAGTGACATTTCTTTAGAAGTATCATTATTTACTTCACTCAATTTTGTAAACAAATCTAACCAACAAGATTTAAAAAAAATATCAATACAAAGAATGTCATCAATAGTCTTTCCTCTTGAGATTATGAACATAAATGATGGACACCATTTAAGTATAATTTTTCTCTTAAATATTCATACTTGAAATTTAGTATGTGCATGACACTAATAAGGATTACCATAAATATTTCAATATTTTATCTTTATACGTAATCTATCTTTTACCAATTAATATTTGAGTAAAACTATCATAGAGAGGTAATTCTACAAAAAAAAAAAGGTACTTTATTGTTATACGAATGATGGTTAAATTGAGGTTTGAGTTCATGTCAAATATTTAGCTTGACCAATTATTTGTTTTAGATATACATATATATATTTCAGTAGCTAATTTAATTTTAATATATGAACAACATCACCTTTGGTGAAAAATATTTCATTTCTTTAAGTTTTTATCTTATCTTTGTAGAATTGTAGTCTTCTCCTTTTTCCTGCCTCATACATATCATATAGTTGTTGTCTAATGAAAGTATCTAAAATCTTATAGAAGTTGTATCGTGATACAATGTATTAAACTTTTTCAATAATAAAAATTAATAGATGAATAAAATTAAAGTATTGTTTATAGAATCTTTAATTTGATTTAAGATTATTTTATGACCAATCACTATTTTCTTATCTATTTTTATATAGCTAGCAAGGAGTGTATCTTGTGATATAAAATTTTCTCAAATTAAAATGAACAAAAAATAATAGGAAAAAAAATATATGGAACGATACATAGCCAATGAAGAAGGAAGAAGAAAATATATTTTCATGCTATATTCACTATAGTGTTCCATTTGATTAAAATCTCTTGTCACCAACTCTTTACTTTCTTCATTCATTTTTACTCACATATCTATTAAAAAATAATTATTATCATGTCTATATTATCATATTATAAGTAAAAGTGAAAATCTATTTTTGAAATTGTGGATTTAACATAAAAACTACTGATTCAATGGACAACGTTGATGCCCGTTGTTTTAGCAAAATCAGAAAGAAACTGCTTCACTTGAGGGTAAAAAAAATAAAAAATAAAAAACCAAAGAAGAAATATCTTACCCAAATCATGTGACTTTTTTCATATTTGTTTATTATTATTGTCTTTCGCACAACTTTTCGTCACTGTAAACTCATGAAAATCGTAAGAAAAAATACGATTGTGAATTTATGAATGATTTGCTACGATTTGTTTGTTTTATTTAAAAATAATACTTAGATTGGTTTAAGAGTCACCACTTAATTTTTAAAGAAAAATTAAGAAAACTATTTTTTTCAAAAGATTAAAACAGTAAATCTAATGAAAATATTTGAGGGGGTTAGGGGTTCATATTAGCATTTCGGGAAGGGTTTGAAAGCATCCGAAATGTCCGCTAACACGCGGTTATCCGATAATTGACTATTTGGCTAATATGTTTGAAAGAAAAACATGCTTGATTAAAATAGAGGAAATAAACAACTTTTAAACTTACTTTCAAGGGAAAGGAAAATAAGGTTATTACTTAAGTGGAAAATACTATATATTCCAAAGTCAAGTGAAATAAAATATACTTATATGATTTTAAGAAAGATATGATTGATTCGTCTTTTGGGGAATTGAACTAGGGAAAAAACCTTAAAATTAACTAGCAAATAAACAATTAAGCGAATACGAAAACAGATAAAATAGGGAGAGAGAGTTTAGGCCTTTGACCCATTTGCACCTGTCTTAAGATCTAACAAGATAATAACAAGTAAAATGACAAGGGCTTAGTCCCAAAATAACAAAATACAATTTATTTAAAAATGACAAGGGCTTAGTCCCAAAATAACAAAATACAATCCTAAAGTAAAGGGGACCATTTTCCCACTTTTCGTATACACTAGATGTATACTAGTGTATACAATCCCATATGTCTGCTCCGAAGACCTGTACGCCGAATTCATGGAATTGCTCTTCAATTCTATTGGATGGCCGACTCAATAAAAGACTTGAGCATTAACGAATCTCTCGAAATGCGGGGAAAAAGGAGTTCATGATGAACTCGGGCAAATTTCGCATGCAACAAAGAAAAATAAGAAATACATTAGTAAAATTCTCTCCAAAGATGGTTAACATCAATTTAAAACACATAACCCAAATAATGATTTAACATAATGACACATGTAAATATTATATGAGTTATGCTCACATTTTTTCCAATCCCAACAAAGCTTTGGCAAACATTTAATAACTTAGATAAATGTCTTCAAGAGGGTCAACAATTTAACTAAGTCATGGCAAAAGTTAAGGACCAAAGCCACATTAATCAGAACATCTCAAGTGAAAAAAGAAAATGATGCAGTTCAAATTACTATGCATATGAAACACTCAAACTCGTTCCTTACTAAATAGAGGCAACAATTGCAATTACTTAAGAGAAAACTACTATCATTTACAACTACTCTACGGCATAACAAGGAAACAAGATAACCATTATAAATTCAAAGTGATAAGATATTCAACTAAAACGTAAAATCTTTTGAGATGACTTTCGAATATTCATAAAATAAACTAATTATATACATAATTATATATAAAAACATATATATCATCTAAAAATTATAAAAAGTGATAAAACTATCTTAAAATAACTTGCAAACTATATTATTATTATTTTTCTTGAAATTTTATAAAACTAATTATTTTAAATCATTTGAAATTGAAAAAGCTCGATGATTATTCTATATTGTGGAGGTCAAAAATTGGGTGTCAACAACTGTCCCTCGTTT